TTATTCAACGTTTGTTGGGTGTTTAAGTTTAATTAGGAAATCAAGCAAATCAACTTTTTTTTTTGTATTACTCCATTGTGTTAAATAAAATTGAAAGAGGAAAAAAATACAATAAAAAAAGAAGATAATATCTTGAAAGATTGAAGTAGTAAATATTGAGACTTTTAATTTTTTTGCAATAAAGAATAATAATGAGTGTAAATAATTTTTGAGACATTTAAGTATAACAACAATATAGAAGAGTAGTAATTGATATTTTTTTTTTTGTACAATGATAAAAGTAGAATAATATGAAAAATTGAAGAAAAAGATAAATAGAATCTTTGGCCAAAGAGAGGTGCAAGTTCACTTTTTTAACATCTAGCTTATAATATATAGATTTTTAAGCACAACAATATTTAATAGCTATGAGAAATATACCATAGATAATATATCTTTGACAAAATTAGAATATTGAAATCAAAACAATACATTACATTAATGAATTTTTAAAATATTGAAAACATTCAAACTTTATACTAATATGACAAACTGTCTTGATGAGTGTTCAACATAATCAAGTTTCCTTCTTCATTTAGATGAACTTGTACTAAACTAATGTGAACATCTCTTTGTAATGAATCTTTAAAGAATATATCTTTGATGTTCATCAAACTGAAGGACATATCATGTTACTATCTTTTCTATGATTTCTTATTGAAAAAATGAAGAATAATTTTTTTTTTTAAAAGAGAAAAAAATTTTATACTAATAAAAAGAAAGAATGAAAAATGAATATTCAACATGTCCATGGATGATTGTTATTTATAGATTTGATAGTCCATAAGAAAAGCTAGAAAGAAGTTGAAGAGGCATGTTATTTAAGTAGAGAATACAAATAGATGAAAGTTTTTTGTAACTCATTACATATAATTAAAATAGTAAATATGATTGAATTTCTTATTTAATAAAGAAAATATTTTATGAAAAAATTAAGGAAAAAATTATCAAAAAAGGAGAAAAATAAATAAATATGAATGGAGGTCATAGAGAGACCCACATCACCTTATGTAATAGTAAATATGATTGAATTCCTTATTTAATAAAGAAAATATTTTATGAAAAATTAAGGAAAAATTATCAAAAAAGGAGAAAAATAAATAAATATGAATGGAGGTCATAGAGAGACCCACATCACCTTATGTAATAGTAAATATGATTGAATTCCTTATTTAATAAAGAAAATATTTTATGAAAAAAATCTCAAAAAAATGAGAAAAAAGATAAATATGAATGGAAGCCATTGAAATGTGTCACGTCACCTTATCTATTTCTTTCCTTTATATTATAGAAGATATAGATTTGTAACTTACTTTTTAAAAATTTCTTGAGTTGAAATTCAAATTATAGTTATAAAACTTAAATAACAATGTATTAAAATTAGAGCATTGAGATTAAGTGGGTCAAATTGGACGGGTCAAAACTCAACCCATTTTAAGTTCATTTTAGCCCAAAGTAAACTTGGGCGGGTTAAGACCCAACCCAATATCTATTTCAACTCAACCCGTCTATATATATATATATATAATTACAAATAAAAATCACGCATTGTTTATTTAAAAATTGAATATATTTTAAAACATATAACTTTAAAAATAAACACAAATTACTTAATAAAACAAGATATACCAACTATTGTGATAGCTTTTAAATTTTTTAAATATCTAAGTTATTTGTTTTTTTTTAATTATAATATATTTTTATCATATAGAAATTTCTCATTTTATTTTAGTTTACTTATTTATCATTCTACCGTTCATTATATGAGAGGTTTAAATGTTTTTTGAGATGATACATAATTACCTCTTAAATTATAACACTTCTTTAAAAAAAAAGACGCCTCCAAAATTATAGTATTATTTACCTCTTAGCTGTAGGATAGCCCCGGCCCAAGGTCAAAGAGTTGGATAATTACAGAACCGTATCTCATTAAAAAATAAATTATAATCGTATTCCCCCATCTCTCCCAAAACCCTAAGCCGTCGACCGTGGCAGCGCCACTCTCTCAGCCATCAGCACCTCCACCGTCTGAAATCCGTTCAGGTACGATTTTTTAATTTTCGAAATTTCTGTTAATAAAATTTCATCCAAGGGATAAGGGACTACTCATATACAGCAAATCTCATTTATTAGTTGACGAATTTTGCATTCTTCTTGAGAAAGAGGGGATTAAATGGAATATAGGGGATGGGAAGCAGGAATAAAATGGAATATAGGGTCCATAAAGGAAGAAAAAAAAAACTCAATTCTAAACAGGTAAAAGGAAAATGTTTAAGTTGGGTAGTTTCTAGTGATAAATATGGGATCACTTGTTGAGTTGTGTTTGGTTTGCTTGTCGACTAAGATTTTCGAGATGGGTTTTTATAGATTTGGATTTGGCTTCACCATCTCTTCATTCATTTCCAGCCCTGTGTGTTGCATTCTTTGCTCTATTTTCTCTTTTTTTTCTGTGTTTCACCACTACAATAGCGATTCTACTACAAGTAAAAATGAAAATCTATTTTAAGAATAAGTGAAAGTGAACAGAAGGTGTAATAAGTTTTGTAATTTCTCCATTTTCTGTTACTATTTGTCTGTAAAGTAAATGTGCTTCTCGATTTTGTGGGGACTATCCTTCTTTCATTCAAGCTTAACACATTAATGTATCTTTATAGCTTGAAGGAAAACTTAAGTTATTGTATTCCCATTATGTGGTATCTCTGATTAATTGGAAATCTATTCTAAAATTAAAATTTACATATTCAATAAGTATATGAAAAATAGTATAAATTACAATTCTTCTTGTATTAATATGATGAAAAAACATTGGTGTCTCTCAAAGATGGAACATGACAAGTAATTTGGGATGGAGGAGTATCTTTTAACATCTTTGGCATTCGGGATAGAAAAACTTTTGAAATTAAAGGAATGAAAACTTCTAAAACTTGTGGTACTAAACATGTCAAGTGTGGTTATAATTTTTTTTTGAAAAACTTGTGATCTTAAGAATGCCATGATATTTGTGTGGCTATAAAAGATTCTCACTAAGAGTAAAATGGCAAGTTTAAATAAATTATTCAAATTTAGTAATGGGTCATTCTTTTTTAAACAGTCGAAAAAGGAAATAGGTTCTAATAGATTGAAACGGAGGGAGTAGTAACAATGCGAATCTGCAAGTGTCTAGGATGCCCAAGGACAAGTGGCGTGCAGTATATAAACCAGGATTCAACATTTGACCACTTTAAATTGTGAAGCAAATAGCGCACACATACATTTTTTTGGTATTTGATGTTTGTACAAATGGATGTCATTATGTCCCTTTATTGTTTCCTCCCTCCAAATTATGGCTAGAATAAACTCCAATGGTTAGTTGTGTGGGTGCCTATATTATCTTCCCAGTTAAATAATTTGTGATCACGTGCTTTGATTAGTGTAGGAGGTAGAAATCCTGTGCCTGCCTGGTAATGCAAAGACATTTCACCATGTCTGCTGATCCTGCTTTGGTGGAGGAGGACGCTTCTTCAGGCTCAGGAGAGGACTTAAACATGTTAGATGGGCACAGTAAGCATCAAACTGTAACGCCAAATTCAGGTCGTCGCAAGAGAAGTCGCAAGGCAACTGGTGATGCTATAGTTGATGCAATGCTGGAAATTGCAGCTGCTTCAAAGATGAGGGCAGCTGCCATTATGAGGAATGAGGAACGCTTTGCTATAAGCAAATGCATAAAAGTATTAGATGAAATGCAAGGTGTAGATCAAAGTATCTACTTTTTTGCATTGGATTTATTCGAGAATTCAAATGCCAGAGAAACTTTTATCTCTCTTAAGAATGAGAGACGCTTGATATGGTTGCAGTGCAAGTACAATTCGGCAAATTCAGCTAGCTAACGGATGAATCCTCTATTAGTTCTCGACTTTCATACAGTGGGTTTTTCTAGGACATTTTGACTGTATATTACTATTACTTCCCAACATCTATTTATCACTGGGTGTGGCTGGATGCTTAGTTCTAATTCGTAATTGTTGCCAGCTGTTATACAAACAGAAAAACTACTCTATGTTTTACTAGAGTGATTTCAACTTCTTTGGTTGCCCGATTATTTCAGTTGGTGATATGTTACGCCTGATAGGTGCCATCTTAGAGAACTCCGGAGTTGTGTAAATTATCCACAAAAAATGGTAAACTAGTACTTTGAATTGTCAGTTGTAAATTATCTTGCTCTTGGCATTTTCCTGAATAATTTTGTTGATGTCATTTCAAGGTCTGAAAATTTGGTGCTAGTAACAGGGCATGTTTAATTAGTTAGCAATATCAAATTGTGTATGGAGGCCCATATGCTAGACATGAACAAGTAAATTGTGTGGTCCTCTCCTCCCCATAACAAACAACTTAATTAGGAAATTATAAGTTGGCTCCTCAAATCTGTCCCACAAATTGAAGTACCATTTTCAAAAGCTACTTCCTCATCTTTATATCTGTGTTTTTTTTTCACTTCTACTTCTGGCAGTGTAATAACTAGGGAGTAGTAGTACAAAATTGATGTTGAAAACAAACATCCACAAGGTATATGATGTAGAGTACAAACATACGGCGATGTGAATTGATTATTCCAAGTGAGAGAATCATAATTTTCCACAACTTAAAAATTTTCATCTAGGTAGGTGAGATGTCCATCTCATTAAATTTGTACTGCAATATCTGGTTATTTTAATGCCATGTGACATGTCTCGTTACTTCATGATCTCACAAGTTACAACTTCTGGTGTGTAATTAGTAATTACCGCGCTCATCAATTTCACGATGTTCTTCGTTCATCTCAAAAGTCCTAGAGCTGGAATTGAATTAGAATTTTAACTTCCAACTCTTGCACAAGGAGAAGCAAAAGTTATTGAATGCATTATCTATCTCATAATGCTAATGCTCTTTTGGAAACTTACATAACAGAAGTCTTCGATCAGAGGAGCCCTTACCTCTTAAGCGACTATGAGAAATTGAAATCTTAACTTCCTTCAATAAAACATACATATGTAAAGATTGCATTAAGAATATCATTATAACATTTGTGAATATAGCAAAACACTGTTTCACTTTCCAATAGTAGTAATGCCGTTCCTTCTTTTACTAGACGGTGTAAAGTATACCAATCGATGGATCTACTACTATGGCTCAATCCCAAATAAGTATGAGAGAGTCCGATATATACACTCAAAATACTACTACAATTTTCGAATTTTATCTCTCTTTAATATTAGTCCAATGGATTTAACCAACACTCTTGAGGCTTGTACTTGTTCCTCACAGTATCCTGACAATAGTTATAAACCACAAAGTTCCTTTGAACCCAAGCATAATCAATCTTCTCTTTACTTGATAAGTGCCAAGCATTGTTCTGATCCCACCAGTGCTGTGTGGTGGATGAAGCACAAGCAGGGTAAGGATTTTTCCATGGACAAGCGTCTATCGTGAAATCCTTATAAGATGCTACAAATGGTGCATTTTTCCAGTTTATCTTGTCCAAACCTCCTCTAGTAGCCCAATTATCTGCATTCCATATGCTTGAAAACACGTACATTGGCCTTAGGGCTGGAAAGAAATTGTTTGTGTGATTCGCGTTCTTGTATACCCTTATCGGTACTTGATCCACAAAAAAACTGCATTTACAAGAATGTAGTTGATTGAGTCATCATCAACTAATCTCAAATCATTTGTGTTCAACATATATATGAATCTTCTATATCTATTTCATTATGTTCAAATCCATTTCAAGACAATCTTTATTGCCAGTCGTAATTTATTTATTTTTTGAAAAAAATTGTTACTACTATAGTATTTTGGTACCTCTTATGTAATTTGAGAAACAAAAAGTACCATCGATGGATGTAGTAAGATGGTTCGAAATCTTTTATCCTTAATAATAGGTCTTAGATTTGGACTCTAGAGCCAGAATTTTTCCTAAACGATTCAAAATATAAAGAAGTAAATGTAAGAAGAAACCAAGAGTATTCAGCGTCTAGGATATATAAAGTAATTTTCTAGCAAAAAGGTTCAAATGAAGTATATTTTACCTCCTTGATGGATCTACTCGACGTGAATTCTGATTAATTTACTTTAATCCTTAAGCGCGCATAGGGATGAAGTACATTAATGTAGCAAACATTTTACCTCCTTAATGGATCTATCCAACACAAATTCCGATTAGTTTAACCATTGAATTTCGAATATCGAACGGTTAAACAAAAAGGAAAATAAAGTTAAAGAGTGAAAAATAAGACTTACACAATTTGATGTGAGTTCCAAAGAATGGAATAAGTATGGAAGTCCAGAGTAGGATCAAACCAAAGTTGATGCCTCATTTCACGTCCACCACTGCCATTATTATACACATTTGTCTGAATAAGATAAGGCTGCCCTGTTCTGTTTCCCAAGAACTCAAAATCTATCTCATCTCTCAATGGCCCTGCCTCTACTTCTGAGCACATCTGTGCCCAACAAACAAACAAACAAAAAATCACAAAAAAATTCCAACAAAAATGCACAAAATGTTTAAGTGAACTTACATAAAATGCTGTTACAACACCAGCAGAGTCACCTCCTACTAATTTCAACTTTGTGCTGTACCAACCAAATCTATAGCTCTGTTTTGTTATGAACCCACAATCTAACATACCAAAAAACATGAAATATATTCAAATTTCAAGAAAACAAAATAAAATGCATTTTAAATTTCTTGGATTTTAATCACCTGATACTTGGTCTAAGGTAAGATACCAGATCTGTCCATCTTCAGAAGTCTTGAAATGTGTACCAGGGCAACTTTTACTGAAATTTTCTTCAAATGCACCTTTCACTACTCCATTTGATGATGAAAAAAGGGTAAACATTACTGATAAAATTAAAAAAAGATGAGCCATTGAAGAAGCATTGCTCTCCATGGTGTTTTTATTTTTCTTTTCTTTTGAATGAAGATAGGCTGGATGGATCCCTTAGAAATGACAACGTTTTATTAATTATACGCGGTTTGTTACCTAAGGGCAAAAACGGAAATAAATCTTTTTTACCTCGAGAGACGAAATATAAGGCTAAGGACAAAAAAGAACGAACAAAAAACTGCTTTTATTAGCAATTCTAGACGATAAAAATCCTTACTCATTTGAGAATATTTTCCTATTTGGACTAGAAAGATATTTCAAAAATTGAGGACCACCATGTTCGGTATTCTAAAAATGGAATGCTTTTCAAAAATATCAATCCAAAATGGTTTTTTTAGAAACCAAACCAATTCAATTGTATTGTTAACAGCGGTGGAGCTATCCTTGTCCGAAAATTACATCTTACTTTATAGTGGTATCTATAAATTTTTAGACACTCATAGAACCAACGGAGACTTGTAGTGCAACAATAAGGATATGCTCAAAACTTACATGGTGCTCAAGTTCAAATCCTCGTTGAATTTTTTGGTTATGCCACTGATGTAGTAGAAGAATGCATTCTCCTAAATGTTTTTTAATAATGCTTTTATAATATTAATGGTAATTTAAATTTGTCCTCCCTTCACTTGATAAATACTTACTTTTAACGTTAATTTTTGTTCTATCTATTGAGGAAAAAAGGTAACAGAAATGGGAAAGAAAATTATAAGGTGAAAAATTAAACTCTCACTAATAAGATGAAAAATTAAATAATCAATCAACTAAACTATTAAAATTGCTCCTCTATTAGATTTCGATGACTTTAGCCCCAATAAATAATATTATAAAAACAATTGAGATCTTATAGATAGATGGAGAACAAATTTCGATTATTGTATTAAGTCAAAGAATATTTTTGACAATTTATAAAATATAAATCTTTAGAGATGACGAATACTCTGCTCAATGCTTATTTTTGAATTTTAAAAGTGAGTAATTTAGGCAATAGCACACATATCCAGAAAGAGCATGCAAAATTACAAAATACCCACGAAGAGAGTGTGAGGGTATCCATGCTGCCAATGAAGTGATTGTGGTGGCAGAAAATAAAAGTGGGGTCTACAGTGCTTTTCATATTGCAATATGAATGGACTTATTATATGAAAACCTCCTTCGATTTGACAAACTGGATTCTCTTTAACTCCTCCTTATTACTACTTGATCTCCCTTCATTTTAACTGTCATGTTTGTTAAAAATAATTTATGATTATATAAATATTTTTAAAAAGTAAATTTTAAAAATCTTCAGTTTTTTAACTATCCTATAAAGTCAAGGTGGTGCTACATAAAATGAGACAGAGGAAATAGTTGAATTCTGTTAATTTTAATTATTGTGCTTATTAAATAATCAACCAAGAATAATTATTAATTTTAAAAACTAAAATAATTAATATCTAATCTTCATTTTTATTCTTATTTAATAATATAGTACACGAAAAATAATATTCAATTGAGATCAAAGAATATATAAAAATAATTTTATCACATTATTCTTTTAATTAATACTAGTTTTTAAAAATAAAATAGATTAAAGGAGAATATAATATGGAGTAGCAATACTTTCACAAAAGAAAAAAAAACATCACGTAGATTAATGGGGCAAAATAACCTTAAATTAAGGGGCTAATAAAGCATGGTTATTGTTAAAGTAATCATTTGACTTGTTGTGAATCTCAATATTACAGATATAGGCTTTACGTTGATTGAGATTTGAGAACACAATTTTCATTTTTTTAGGATGTAGTATCTTGTATTTCTATTCCGTACATCAACTTATTTATATGAGGAAGAGTTCGTCCTTCTTCAAAGATATAAAGTCAAACGGCCCTCCAAAATAGTAAATGTTTCAATTATTATTTATTAATCAATGAAAACATTAAAGTTTCATCGAAATCAATACTAGTAACACATTTAATTATTTTTGTTGTCGAAGAGAAGAGAAAACAGATATGGAATTTCTTTATCAAACAATTTCCACAACTTTGCCTAGATCTTACATCTTAAACATTTTAACCTCATGCCACGTAATTAATTAATTCCTTATTAGTACTAATTAACTTGAGATGCTTCTTCGAATCAAGGGGAAGTTCAAATTTTGTAACGGGACATTTATAGGGATTTGTTCAACTATTACACAAACCCCAAAGACGGACAAGTAGGAAGAAAACAATTTCAGAAGAACGGCTCAGATACCTTAAATCAAGGAAGGAAGTACTAATAATAAAGTTTGATACTATTTCCTCCATTTATATCACTATTTTAGATTTTACGTCCTTTAAAAAATTAAATAAATTTATCATTGTACACTTATTTAGTGACTTTTGAAGTCAAGTTTTCAATACATTAACATAAATTAGTTTACTTAATTAATTAAATTGACCGAAGAACATGAATTAAACATTTAGTTTTTCTATGTTTGTCAAATTCATACTTTCAAGACTAAAACTTCCTCTGTCCCTAATTATTTGTCCACTTTTGAATTGACACACCTATTAAGAAATCAATTAATGACATAGTGAGTTTATCATTTTATCCATATTAATTATGAAGTGGATGAAAAGTTCTGCATTTTTCAAAGTCCTTTTTTGATTTGTCAAAATGGACAAGTAATTAGGGACAATTACAAAAGGAAAAGTGGACAAGTAATTAGGGACATATGGAGTAATTCTCAAGGGTAAAATAGAAACAATAGTGTTATTTATGTACTAATTTCCTTTTTTTGAGTCAAACGATAATAACTTGACTAACGTTTTACGATGTATTTTTTAATCATATTGACATGCAAAAAATTGAAATTTATAATACTTTTAGTATAGTTTTTAATATCTAATTTTTTTGATTAAAATATCGAATTAATGTAATAAAATTAACTTTAAAAATTAGTCAAATTGATATTCGAAAAAGCACAACATGACAATTAAAAATGGACAGAAGGAGCATTGATATTATAAAATAACAGGTACTAATTAAGAAACATCTATTTTTAATAAAGACATAAAAATAAGAACAGGGAATAGTAAATTAGGGCATCAACATTTGATATTACTCAAGTGGATCTCAATAATTATACCATTAATAAACTAAGTTAAGATGATTAGGAGATTCAAAATTCACTTTTAATTTTTAAGTTCAAATCAAGCACTATATTACTCTGAAAATCGAGGATCCATCACTAATAATAAATACGGAACATACAAGTTATATTTGAGAGTAAGACAATGTATGTCCCCCTCGCCGTGTTTTCACTTTTCTCGAAGCTGATTATACACATGTAAGGGGTCAAGGCCTAAACCCCACGACAATAGTGGTCTAATTAATATAAAGTATTGATTGTTTTAGTTGCATTCCTTGACCCCCACCACAATGGTGATCTAAATCTAAAAAAAAATAGTACAGTATTGATTTTTGGTTGCATTAGCCTAACTTGGCCCGTGACTGAATCTTATCGAGCATTTACAAAACAGATAATAATTCTTGCTGGAATTTAGTAATTCATTTAAGGGAGAAGAAAAATAACAGGTCCCTCCGTTCACTTTAATTTATTTGCTCATTATCTATGTTCTTATTTTTACTTTATCATTTTTAGTATAGTCAAATATACCCCTGTACTATAGGCCTAGTTATACTTTCGGGTTAAATAAACCCTTATGACTAACATAGGACATGTGGACGGCTAAGATTAAATGAACTATTCAATTTGAAATAAATCGAATTTGGATATAACCCACTCCGCCCCAATAATTTAACCCGACCTAATTTTAACATCCGACCCAGTGAGGAAACTGAACAGAAAATCGACAAATGAATCCTTTGCTTCAGCGTACAGTATCTTGTTTCTAGACTTGCTTAATATTTTATTTTTCTAGCGTTAACGGTAAGCAGATCAGCAAACACTTGTGAAATTCTTGGTTCAGTCATGATGTTGTTGTCAACAATAGTTTGCTTGTTCATAAACACCTCAGTTAAGGGAGATTTTGAGATCAATGAACAAGTGAGCATTCTTAATTTCTAAACAAAGAAAAACTAGGAAAATACATGTGAGATCGATAACATCAAAAAAGGAAGAGTGAATTCTCAACACATAACCTGAATTGCAATTTATTTTCTGAATTGATCTCCTCTTTAGTTTTTTCCCTTTCTATAACATGAAACTGATTTCTCCTACCTTCGTATTCAAAGATTACCCTTCATCTGAAAGTGCTTCCACTGTCATTTGATTATATTAGAATCGAAATTAGCAATATGCGCCTGTTCTTTTCAAAGCAGTGTTATTTTCTCTATGTATGCATGAATTCAGAGTTTAATTAGGTCAATGTTATAATTAGGTCGGGTTAAATTATTGGGGCAGGACGTGTTTTATCCAAATTTGATTTATTTTAAATTGAACAGTTCATTTAATATTAGTCGTCCACGTGGTCCTCTATTAGTCACAAGGGTATATTTAGCCTGAAAGTATAACGGGAGGGGTAGATTTAAACTATTTCCTATAATGCAGGGGTATATTTGGCCTTTGCGTTTAGTATATTAAGAGAAACCCCCTCAATATTTATTATTTATTCACCACATCATTTTTCAAGACCTAAGGGATAAGACTAAACACCAATTAACACGAGTATTGTGCTAAAATACTCATAGCATTAATCATTATTTCTTAAGAAGTGTAGAAAGTTTAAAGTGGATAAGTAAATGTGAATGGAGGGAGTACACTCTCCATTGAAAAAAAAGAAGATTTTTTTTTTGAAATCTTATTATCTTAAATTAAAGATATGCTTAATTTATCAAAATATCTTTTGAATCTTTAGGTTTAAAATATGTCATATAGGATGTTGGTATAAATAGTTACTAAATATAAAATAATAATATTTTTTTAAAAAAACAAATTAAAAAACGTATAAATTTTCAAGCCTACAATTACATCTACCTGGGAATTTTTTATCCTGTTTGGAAAATCACGTAGCATAATGCTATCAATTTCTTGTACCATAGTTTCCCTTTTTCTTTTGCTTTGTGAATCACAAATGTCAAATATGAATAATCGGAATGAAAGTCAAGAGGCTCATTAGCCTCTCAGCTTTTAACTCATTGAAACTGGCAAGCAATTTATCTTTTGGTGCTTTCTGAAAATTCAAATTACAAATCTGGTGTCTCAGCTCTTGTCGATAATATAATTCAAAGAGAATCATACCTCAAAAATTAGTTATTAAAGTTAGGATCGAGAAGGACCTAAAATGCCCCTTAATTATTTGAATTTGTACAAAACTATCCTTCGTTCACCTTTCGACCCCAAATACTCTTGACGTCAATTTTTTGAATAAAAAATACCCTCGATATTAAGCCGAAAATGTCCTTAAACTATGAGATTTGGTACAATATTGCCTTCCATCCACCTTATGAGTATGAGTCGTTACATATAAGAACATTTTTTAGCCAAAAGGTTGAGGTTAGGGTATTTGGGAGACGAAAGGTGAAATCGGATAGTTTTATACCAATTCAAATAGTTGAGAGACGTTTTATGTCCTTCTCCGAAATTGGAAAGCTCAATATTATAAGCCCCAAATCAACTTTCCTAAAATATATGCAGGATTCAAGTCTCATTACCCATACATTAGCTTTGGACTCGAAATAGGCCATCCGTGCAAAAACTTCAAATGAAATTGTGCTTGTTCCTAGAATTGGGCTCGCTGGCAAGCTTTTAAAAACTAGCCACCTATTACAAATTTGACCCATAGAAAATGTACGGAAAATTCTCTGCAACTCTCTTCCCAATTGAAACTGATTCGCTTGCACAAAACTCAAATGACCATTGCCTCTAGAGCTCTCTTTCTCTTCCAGAAATCAATCGCAATAGCAAGCACTGTAACAACAACACAAAAGCCCCAAAGTTGGAGAATCCAATTCAAACAAACCCAATTAGTTTCCCAAATTTCCTCTATTCTCTTGCAAAGACAAACAAATCAATGGCCTTCCCTTCTCAAGAACCTCAAACTTTGTTCTTCACAATTTACTCCATCTCTCTTCCTTCAAATCCTCCACAACACCCAAACCAACCCACAAGTCTCTCTACGCTTCTTCGACTATGCCAAGAACAATCTTGGGTTCCAACCTGATGCCAAAGTTCTTTGTACACTTGTGTATATACTTCTCGGGTCCGGACTATCCAAACCCGCAAAACCCATCTTGGATACTCTCATTCAAACATACCCACCAGCCCAAATTGTAGGTTTCTTGATTCAGTCACTGAAAGTTGGTGAAATTCACATTCAGTCTTCAGTCTTGAGCTCAGTTCTTGAATGTTACTGCAATAAAGGTTTGTTCTTGGAAGCTCTTCAGGTTTATCAAATAGTTAGAGAATATGGCTATTTTGTATCTGTTAATTGTTGTAATACATTGCTTAATTTACTGCTCAGTAAGAATGAGTTAAGATTGGGCTGGTGTTATTTTGGTTCTATTATTCGTAATGGGGTTCAGGAGAATGTGGTTACATGGTCTTTAATTGCTCAAATGCTTTGTAAAGATGGGAAATTTGAGCAAATTGTTCCTATTCTAGACAAGGGTGTATGCAGTCCTGTTATGTATAACATACTCATAGACTGTTACTCTGAGAGAGGGAACTTTGAAGCTGCATTTGGTTATTTAAATGATATGTATAGTAAATGTATTGATCCCACCTTTAATACTTTTAGCTCAATTCTTGATGGTGCTTGCAAATATCAAAATGCCGAAGTGATTGAATCAGTGATGAGTTCCATGGTGGAAAAAGGACATCTCCCGAAAGTTGTGTTACCTGACTATGATTCTGTGATTCGAAGGTTCTCTGATATGGGAAAAGCATATGCAGCTGAATTGTTTTTCAGGGAAGCTTATGAAAAAAGGATTAAGCTACAAGACAATACTTATGGCTCTATGCTAAGGGCATTCTCCAAGGAAGGTAAAGCTGAAGATGCTATTTGGATGTACAACATTATAGTTGAGAGAAAAATATTCATCAGTGACAAATGCTATAGTGCCTTCATGAGTGTCCTATGCAATGAAAATCCATCACTGGAAGTTAGCAGTTTGTTGAAAGACTTGATAGGAAGAGGATTCGTACCTCCCGTATCTCAAGTATCTAAATTTATAGTTTCTCAATGTGAAAAGCGTCAGTGGAAAGAAGCTGAGGAGCTTCTGAATGTAATTTTTCAAAGAAGACTTCAGTTTGAATCTTTTTGTTGTTGCTCTTTGGTGCGGCACTATTGCTTTAGCAGAAGGATTGATTCTGCCATTTCTTTACATACTGAACTAGAGAGACTTGGTGTTGCTTTAGATGTAGAGACCTACGGTTTACTACTTGACAGTCTGTTTAAATCAAGACGGCGTGAAGAAGCTCTAAAGATCTTCGATTACATGAGAACACATGATATGTTAAGCAGCGAAAGTTTTTCAATCATGATTAGAGGGCTATGTCAGGAACAGGAGTTTAGAAAAGCAATGAGACTGCATGATGATATGCTGAAATTGGGGTTTAAACCTGACAAAAAAGCATATAAGCGATTGATTTCTGGGTTTGGCTAAATAATACATTTTCGCCTCATTTATATTTTATCTCTTCACTTACAATACATACTGTACAGCATGGTTGCTCACCTGAGAGTAGATCTTGGTGATGCTCGCTTTCGGTAGCCATCCAATTTTTTTTATCTCTCTACGCACAATTTAAACAGCATACAATGAGAAATATGAATCTGTCCTTTACTTACAAAAGGTAATTTCTGTTCCTTTTCACTTTCCCTTTTTCATTTGACTCAAAATTCTGTTCAGAAAGGATTTACATTTATGTAATAGCCCAATTGTTTGACAGCAGAAAATTTCATACTTTTGGCTTCACTTGAATGTTTATCTACTGATGTCATGGTGGACTTGTTTGTAAATTGGCAGTATTGACGATCTAAAATTTTTATGTCTGTCCTATGCATCATTGCCTAAAGAATTCTCGTGACAATTGCATGTTAGACTGTACTTTCTTTACCTGGAAATAGTTTCCAGTGGCTTCCTTCTAAATGCTTTCATCTCCCCTAGCAGAGGTGTCATTGTTCGGTTGCATTTCAGCTTTCACTCTTTCTGAAGTGATTCGTACTGTCTCTTGTGATGTGTGACACTGAGGTCGATCAACTTAAACATCTGAGTGTAATTCTAGTTGTATTTGAAGTTGTCTCTGGGCTTCCTATTAATTGGAGAAAAGTTACTTGTATCCAGTCAATGAAGTGACTAATTGCTGCATTCTAACTGGCTAACTGCTACCTTAGGCTGCAAAGTTGGTACCTTACCAACACTCGTCTTGGATTGTGATTGGGGGCTAAGCATAAAGTTGATAGCATCTGGGAAGGAGTGATGAAATGTGAGAAAAGGTTAGCCAGGTGGAAGAAACAATATCTTTCTGATTAATAGCGTGTTGGATTCATGTCACTCATATGTGATGTCTCTGTTTTCAGATGGTGTATCATTACTGGAGGACATTAGATCTCTGCGGCCTCTAATACTGGGATCAAGGTGGGCAACAACAGAAAAGGTTCTTTGTGGAAAGGACACAGACCTTTGCAAGTTGTGTTTTCAGATTTATTCACATTGCCTTCAAAAGCTGCATCTACAGAGTAAATGGATTTGGAATATCAACCTCCGAGTAAATTTCAAGTCTGTTGATTTTTTCAATCATTTGAACACATATCAGCAGCTAATTAATACTGAAGACAACATAACATGGATTTCTAGCAAGAAGGGTCTATTCACAGTGAAATCAATCTACAGAAAATTAAGAAAAGAGAAGTTACCAAGTCATTGGCCATTGAAACAGATGTTGAGATCCAATGTTCCATTCCATGTGGTTTTCTTTACATGGATTGAAGCTTGTGAGAATATCCAAAAAGAGGTTTTGAGCTATGCAGCAAGTGAGAGCATCTGCAACTTGCTTTTGACCTGTGGTTTGCAATTGGTCATACAAAGATCAACAAATGATTTACTGAGGTGCTAAGCACAGAAAAGACCCAAGTAAGGAAGAGAAAAGACTATACTTGCTGGACTGAAGAAATAAAATACATATGTTTTGAAGATTCTGCAAGCTCCGCCAACAAGATAAAACTGTAATTGTGTATGTTTTTGTTTTGTTTTGCTTATGTTAGACTCAAACATCTTTTCTTATTTATTAGTTCACATTTAGTTAAGTCGATTATTGACCTAAATAATGTATCTCTAGTCCCACTCAAATCTTAAGGATGATATTCGCAAATAATCACTTTTCATACGTTAATCAAGCTTTAAATAATGTTTCTAAATTACCAAAAAAGCTTAATCCGCTTTTTAATATAGATAAATTTTCAATAAAAATATTCCTAAAAAGTCTTTATTAAATTTTATTGGAGGTTGAACATTATTCAGTTTATTCATACTTGTTCACTTTAGAAATATTTAGTTCCTAATTTACTCTTATTATTAACTAGTCATTTCTCAATGCATTTTTCCAAATTATATATTAGTAAAATTTCCTTCTTTCTTGGTGGAGTGTGTCAAATTAATATTGACCAAGTAAAATGAACGAGTACTCCCAAACGGGTCACCGCCCAATTTTCTTTACCCGACCCAAATCAAACCACATGCCCATCGGCCCATCCATTTCTTTCCCTTCCAAATCCAACACAAAAAAAAACCTTTTTGGCATTTCTGCTTCATGCATGCATGAAACCTGGAAATCTTCCATCAAATCAACAATGGCGATCTCTACAATTCAATCTTCTTTTCTACTCATAACTATCCTGTTTCTCCTCTCACCCATCACTACCCATTCCAATTCTTCCGATGACTTACTCTCCGAGCTGATACATCTCCGATCAAAATCTCCCCTCGGTCTGATCCACCTCAAAGATCCCCTTCTCCAACGCATCCTCTCAATCCCTTCCCCTAAACCATTCTCATCCCTCATATTCTTCGACGCCAGACAACTCCACTCTAAACCCGATAACTCAATCCCTAGTATCAAATATGAATTCTCCCTTCTCTCCTCTTCTTTCCTCACCAACAACCCCCAAAACAACACTCAGATTTTCTTCTTCATCATAGAATTTCAAGAATCAAAGTCTTCCTTCGAGCTTTTTGATGTTCAATCTTTACCCCATATTCGGTTAATACCCATTTATGTGACGGATGTTAAAACTGATTGTATTAAAATGGATGCTTCTGGTTTTTCTATGGGAGCTGACTCGATGAAGGAGTTTGTGGAGATGAATTCGAATGTTAATTTGGGTCCAATTCATGCGCCCCCAGTTATTCCGAAGAAAATGATGATGATTATTGGTGCTGGGTTTTTGATTTGGAGTCCATTTTTGGTGAAAAAGTTTGTTATTGGAAACACCCTTTTGCAGAATAAGTATATATGGATGGTTGCATCGATTCTAGTGTACTTCTTCAGTGTTTCAGGGACAATGTATACTATAATTAGGAAAGCACCTCTGTTTTTGATTGATAGAAATGATCCAGGGAAGTATCATATCTTTTACCAAGGATCAGGGATGCAGTTAGGAGCTGAAGGTTTTGCTGTTGGATTCTTGTACACGATTGTTGGATTGTTGTTGGCACTAATGACTCATATTTTGGTTCATCTGAAGAACAGGGGAACACAGAGTTTGCTCATGGCTTTGGGGCTCTTCGTATCGTTTTGGGCGGTAAAGAGGGTGATTTACTTAAATAATTGGAAGACTGGCTATGGTGTTCATGCTTATTGGCCTTCAGGTTGGATGTGATAGCAATGTAGTTTGTCTGGCTGTTATTCTCTTAGGTAAGAGTTTTGTAGTTTAAACTACATGTGAGCTGATTCCAATTCAACTAAAAGTAGTTGACAGAAAAGTTTCAGCTTTTACATTTTAGATTTATCGAGCTTTTATCTTGTAGTGAAGCATTTGTTTGCCGGTTGAAATTTTCTTACCAATAATTCTTCACTTTATATCTCTCAAACTTTACTGACTTTTTTAGTTACCTACATGATCATTAATCTTGTGCCATTTCTGTTATCACCACTTGTTAGCTTCTATCTAATTGTCTAATATGTAAATTGTTTGCTATACGTCAGGCAAGATGAGGGAAATTATTGTGTAAACAGTCAGAGATTAGATATTGGTGTTGCCTCCCCTGAGAAATGAGAGGGCCTCCATAAATTTAAATTGTATTTTTAACAAATATTAGCATCAATAGAGGAATACTTACCTTCCAACCACCAATACAAGTAATGCTGCGGCGATTGAAGGTTTTTATGGTTTGGGGCATTAATAGGACAACAAAAGGTTAAGGTTTTGGTTAGAATTACGAAAAAAGAGGTTTTGGGCTCTAAACTATGTATTCCAGTTGTTAACCCCATGCTTTTGTTATTTGATTTATGTTGCTATCTGCAAAAAGTATCTTCCTTTCCATGTTTGTAAAGGAAGTAGTTTTCCTTTGTTTGAAGACACTTGGATATGGTCTATATGGAAACTAAAGGAAATTATTTAGGTAATTTTGCAGCTTTGTATTTTCAATGAACACAATGATCTTTCATTAAAGGAGTAAATTACTAGTGAAGAAGGAAAAGATGAAAAACGGTTGCACTTTGATGTAGTGCTTTTGTATTATCTCAATTCAAGTTATACAGCCTGTGGAAGTTCTGCGGCAATTTTTCTTTCTGTTAATGGATTTTACGCAGAGAAATGATTGTTTTCTTGTGTTTATTAATAATGATAGATGGTTTTCTTGGGTGAGTGAAGAGTCAAGGAGGGGGAGAAGTTGGCGATGGACAATTTTCTTGGTGCAGTTGAAAATAAAACAAGTGGAAAAGAATTATCTTAGTATTGAATGGATTCCTCTTGTTTGCTTGTTTTCCTGTCGCATGTTTGATTATCTTGATGGTGCAAATATATGTAACTGTTACCATGTTCTATTAATACATGTTTGATGGAGGAAACATATGATGAAGTCCCAAGTATAACTCATCCTAAAGTCATGTCTTTTCCTCTTTTCCTTTTCAAAAAAAGAAGTTATGTCTTAAAAAAACCCCTGAAGGAAGATTTAAGTTATTTCATTGTCTTTTAACCATGAGTTTCCTATTTATGGAACAATCCGAATGAAAGAATCCATTAGAGTATGATCATGCAATTAACTAGCTATAGTCCTGTCGAAAAAACTGTCCACTGGTGACCTCTTGCCACCACCGGATACATAGCTTATCGATAGTTCATCTTAAAATGCGAGGGAACGGATGAACATTATGTTGTTTCAAAAACCACCATCTTACCTTCATTTAAACAGTCTTTTACCACCAGTTATGAAACCTCGCTGATCATATAAGATTATCGGTATTCTTTTCCACTTCTTTTATACTTAGCCGCAATATTTATGCTATTGTTGTAGAAAGACTTTTCCATGTGGCTATTTGACAAAAAAGGATTTCATAGAAACAGAGAAGGAAAAAAAGTATAATGGAGTAGTTGTTTTTCTTGAACGCGGAAATATAAGGTATTTAGATGCTTATTTTTGGAGAAACGTTGCTTAAGAACTACTCTACCATCAAGAGAGAGATGCAATGTTATATTGTCAAGTTTGATCTTGCCTATGCTAATCAAGCACTTGAGGTCCACCCTATGTTTTTTCTTTTTGTTGCATAAAAGTGGCAGTGGGTGGCAATTGTTTTTCACTTTTTAGATATAAAGTTGTTCACTTGTTCTGCAAAGAATATATTCCTTCCCCTTCCTTCAGTTACATATTATTTTCTTACATACGCGTTGAATCTTGAAAACACTATGTGCAGTCAAAAAAACATTAAAGATTAAAAAAAAAAGAATTGTTGGCTGATGGTCGGTTTGCTTCAGCAGATCTTGCTGAGCTTTTTTGTTTTGTTTTTTTAACAGCCCCTTCTTTCCTTTCCTTCGTTGAGTTATAAAGGTACATATGAATTTGAATTTTTTAAGCCTTTTCCTGTTCTTTATTTCCATGAACTTGCGTATCCATGCAGCAGCCTAGATTCCCTTTTTTACATTTTGCTTTTTCCTATATATATTCTTTCCTTGATAGCCAAACCATTTACTTTCATATATTCTATTCTCTCAAGCCTTGCCCTCTTTGTGCTTGAAATACTATTTAAGACATCAATTGGAAGTGAGTTGAGAATTTTGAAAGGGGACATGGAAGAACAAACAGAAATAGTAGGAAGGGCATTTGTGGATCACTACTACAATCTTTTCGACAATGATCGATCATCAATTGGTACTCTGTATCAACCAAGCTCCATGTTCTCATTTGAGGGCCAAAAGTTGCTCGGAAATGAAGATATCTCTGCTAAGCTTAATGCCTTGCCTTTTGGACAATGCCGCCATGTGATTAGCACCATTGATTCTCAACCTTCGTCCTTTGCTGGAGGGATCATAGTCTTTGTCAGTGGTAGCATTCAACTACTTGGAGAGGACCATCCACTGAGGTTTAGTCAGGTCTCTGTTTCTCTCTTTCCTCCATATATGTGGTTTCAGTGTATGCTTTTATATTTATTGTGTGTTCGAACAAAGTCACACATTGGAAGTTGATAAGAAAAAGAAGTAACAAAATTAATGTTGTGAAGGTCTTTTAGAGGAAACCGTGCAGGCTTGGCTCAAAATGGTCAGTATGACACAATGCTAAGAGTGTCTTTGGGCTGACTAAGTCCAACTGTCTTGTTTTCAATATTCTTTTAATAATGGTGGTGTCTGGACCAGCTTAATGATGAATTACTTGTAGAAGTAAGTCTAAACGTCTTTTTCATAATTGCATTATCGCAGATGTTTCACTTGATCCCAACTGTTGAAGGAAGCTTCTTCGTGCAGAATGACATATTTCGCCTCAACTATGGCTAATTTAGCGTTCATGTGGGGGAGAATATAGATCAAGAGAAGAAAAAACAGTGTTTATGTGAGTGGAAATGTGGAAGAGAGAAAATTATTGGTCATGTAAGTTGATTTGAATGTGGTGTTGCCTTGACGAAGGAAATAGGAGCATCACATTATTTGATTTGCTAATTGCTTTGTAATTCTGGGTAACACTAATTCAATTTGCAATCACTAGTACCATCAAGTCTAAATAATTTAATTTATACCTTCGTATTGTGGCATTGGTTCAGTCATCAGTACCACAAATATTATTATCACATAACAAGCATACAAAAAGCAACCAAAACATACTAAAACTTCACTAGCAATACATGGCACACATATTTTTAATCAAACAAGTTCCTCACAACCCTTCAGTGTAAGCGACACCAGTAGATTTTAACCATGCTGCTCCTTGAATCAACTGACCCACAGTGAATTTCGCGGCCTCTGATGTAGTTAAGGCTTTATGATAACCAGCCCAGTTCACTCTCTTACTAATTCCAGCACCAGCTCCTTTGTTCATGTACTCACCATAATACAATGTTTTCAATGCAAAATCACCGTCCCATTCTGACCAACCTGCTGGATCAATATGGTCTCCAATATTGGACTGCATATACACTGTCCGCGAATACGCTTTCCATGGTCTGCCCAAATATGTCTTCACGGACCCTTTCACTGGTGCAAGGTCCGAGCTAGGAATAATTTCACAATTCTGGATTGAAGTTCCTGTAACTTGGTTTGGATCTTCACGACCTTGAGCCGTAACCATGTTTTTCTGTCCGCTCATGGGCTTTCGGGCTGCGAGTTTAGAGTTTTGGAATACAACTGCTGCGTTACCGAAGATGAAATCGACAGTGCCAGTAATGTAACAATCTCTGTAGAATTGACGGAGAGTGTGGGTATAGAGAGTGTCCCGGAATGCATCTATTTTGCAACGATTGATAACGGACTGATCTGCTCCAACACGAAGGGCCACTGCTTGGTGCTTTTGTGGCCCAGCTGTGTTTTGGAATTGTAGATCTTGGGCTATGAATCCATCCCCAACAGCAGCTGCATTAAAAATAAATTAGGCAACCAAAGTAAACAAGTTCATAATTTTTCAAACACCTGTTTATGTCAAAATCCAAGCCTCTTTGTTATACCAAAGTCAAAAGAGTATAGTGAGAAATGAGATAGTATTTACCAACAGTTGCAGATTTGAAAGTTGTTGAGCCATCAATAACATTCAAGTTGCCAGTGATAATAGTTGCATCCATGCCATCACCCATAAGCATAATATTCTTCTTCTTTTTCCCAATCTCAACATTTTCTTTGTAAGTTCCTTTTTTCACATAAATAACAAATCTAGTCTTACCATTATCTGGAGCAGACGCAACTGCTTCTTTTACGGTCTTATATTTTCCACTACCATCTTTAGCCACTACAACATTGGCTGCTATAGCATTAGCAGAAAGTTGCAAAAGCTTTCTATCATTAGCACTAACCCATGAGGGCAATCCATCACTAACTGTTGGTGGTAAATTATTATTATTATTAGTACTCTTTGGTGGTGCAATTGCAACCATCAAGGCCAAGGAAGTCCTTGCTCTTGCTATTAAATCATTCAACATAGGCTCCATAATAGACCGGGCCTGGCCATTTAGCCCATCTATGCAAGTAACATGGTTGGTGAGAATGCTACTTAGCCATGAATGAACATCAAAATGGGCTTGGGCCGATAGGTTCCCAAGTCCCATCATGGAGTCCATCAATCTATCCCTTGACAAATCCATCAACTCTAGACAATCTGCTAGAGCTGCTTGTTCCTGACCATTATTGATACGACCATTCACATTGCTCGCCAAATGGATCGTCTCGTGGATTTTTAAGGACGATTTATGCAAAACCATCTGTAATAAATCAACTGTTTTTGTATCCATCACAACACCAGCAGGTGCAACCTCAGTCACCATGGACAAGCAAGATGGCTGATCATGGGCCGTATCACAAACACGGGTGTTGTCAAGGAAATTGATGGGTTATTCCATTGATTGAAATGAATCCAACTGAGCCCACAATACAGCTAAAGAGAGAAGCACATAGAGAGCTTTAGTAAAAGAGGAGGATTTTGTTTTGGGAGAATCTAACAATGGTTGAGAGGAAGTAGCCATGACTTACTGAAAATGTGGAGTGAGGTATGGTATGGCTCTTCTCATTTCTCGCCTTATTATTATATATAGACTAAAAAAACACCAATAATGTTCGATATTATTTTAACATACATGTGTAAGAAACAGTACTTGATTAAATTAATTAAAACACTATTTAATAAAGCTACTTTAATTTACTTTATTAGATGGTCCGGAAAGATTCAGGTATTTTATATTACTATTAATGTTTCTTTTCATGGCGAAGTAGGTATGGTTAGTCCATATATGCTAGTGTAAGTAGTACTATATTTTTATTTAAGGCCAAACACATGCACAATCCCTCAAACTTGCCATCATTTTTCATTTTGACACTCCAACTTAGCTTTGTTCCATTTTAACCCTTAAACTTCATTTTTTCTGTACCATTTAAACACTTATACTATTTTTTATGATTTTTTTTTATTTATGTTCTTCAACTGCAATTTCTTATTTTAAAAAAATAGATGTGTGCCTGTTTATTTTCGTAAAAAAATTAAACATTCGCGAACGAACATAAAAGTTTTCAAACAATAATATTATTTTTTGATATTTCTCTGTATTTTTGCATGAAAATAAATTGACGAAAGTTCTTTGATTTTCTTTCTTAAACATTCAATTAAATTAAATAACACTACTTATTTATTTTTTCTTATCATCTAGGCTATCTAAATTTAACGCAAATACTCACTTTTAATTTTTAATATAAATCAATACGAATAAAAAAACCCATCTTCAAAAAGACTCGACTGACTTAGTTAATAACACTACTAAAAAAAGACTCTTGTTCATTGCTAATAACACTACTAAACAATGTTAAAACTCGACTGACTTTGTTAGGTTGTCGGTGATTTTAAAGAAAGAAAATCAATACAATTTTATCGGTTATTTTTCACACAAAAATACATAACACTCTTAAAAAGAAATTATTATTTTTTAAAAAAGAATTCTTTTTTGTTAATTTTTAATTTTTTAACTAAAATTAAATGACACATGTCGATTTAAAATAAGAAGTTGCAATTGAAGAATATATATAAAAATAAATAAATCATAAAAATAGTATTTCGTGTTAAAATGGAACATAAAAAATGGAGTTCAAGTATAAAAACAAAGAAATCATAAAAATAGTATTTTATGTTAAAATGGTACATAAAAAATGGAGTTTAAGGGTTAAAATGGAACGAGGCTAAGATAAAGTGTTAAAATGAAAAATGTGGATAAGTTAGAGGGGCTATATATGTGTTTGGCCTTTATTTAAATTAAATATATTTACCAGCAAATTAAAATAATACGGTTGAATTTGTTATAACGTCAAAGACATGCGTTTCAATTAAACTCATTGATTGATATATTAGCAGTTAAATAATTGTAAGCGAATTAAGTAGAGTGCAATCGGTCTTAAACCTGTGGGTAGATTAATATGGAAGTGATTGATAGTTAAGACTTTATAAAATATATTAAAAGCTTCAAGTAATTATATGTATGTCAAGATTACTATTTCATTAATTATAGATAATGAAGGATAATATATTAACCAATAGAAAATTTCTACTCGAACCCTAAAGTACTATAACGTCCGATAGAAAAGCTCTATCTGAAAATACTATCACGTGCAAGTTGATAAATAGCAGGTTAGTATCATTTTTATCAGGTTGCAAATCAATATTTTGAGATGTTATATAACCTTAAAACAAGAGATTTAGTTTTATATTAATTCTTGTATACTACAGGTCAGTGGCGGAGCTAGGATTTTTAATAAGGGGTTCAAAATCTGAGAAGTAAACACATGAACTATTGAAAAGGGTTCAACATTTATTATACATACCTAAAAAATAATTTTAATTATATATAAATAGTACTAATATTTTTCGCTGAAGGAGGTTTGGATGAACTCCTAAGTGTTAAGTATATGCTGCCTCCGCCCCCGCTAGGGGTACATGAAATTTGAATTCTCGACACATACCTAATAATATTATAACAGAGACGTAAAACTATACTTATAATTATAGCTCAAAGATAAGATATTTAAATTGGATCTAATTGGCCCTTAAAACATCAGAGTCATTTGAAGCATATAGAAATCAAAGACCTTAATCAATTTGACCAAACCATGATGTATTTAAGAAATTTTTATAGTTGAAAGAGCAATGTCCACAACAAGTTCTTTCCTTATAGAGAAAATGGCCAAAAGCCCCCCAACCTATAGTCAGATTTCCACTACACACTCATACTTTACGAGAGTCTTATTACACCCTTGAATTATTTTAAAATGAAGTTATTTGCTCCCTAAATGTTGATGTGGCAAAGAAGGTGTAGTTCACTCTCTTTGGGAGAGTGAGAGATAAAAAGATAGTTAAAATATTAACTTTATAAAATATTTGCTTTTATTTATTTTTTTACCTTCTTTATCTCTTCCCTTCAATCTTCATCATCAGATCCATACTAGATATTCGGCGGTGGCTCACCTCGACCACCAGGTCACCGTCCCTCATCAGATTTTCATCACTAAGTCAATTCTCATCACCAAATCACATACTTTTCATCATATCTCCACTTTTCATCATTTTGAAAATTTGTTGGTAGCTCAAAATCAAAATCAAAATTGAAAGTTAGAAGAATCTAATCTTAGACTAGTCATTAATGGAGGAGTTCACTAAGTAATATATTCAATTAATGGAGAAGAATTCATCATTGGGTAACAGACCCTTTAATGAAGAAGACCCGTTTATTGAAATTGTTGTAAACATCAATCGAATTTCTCATATCAACATTGTTAAATCTAAATCAATACTAGTTCCTCCGCAAGTCTGGTACCTTTATCCCGGCAGGCAAGTATCGTTTATCGGTGATTCTTTGAAGAATCGATCTTTGAGAAATATTATAATAGTGGAAGAAGAAGCAATATTTAGTGATAGAGTTTTTTGTTTGTCTCTAGCTTTAGAAAACGAGATTTCCTGGTGTGCGGTGAAGGTCGAAGTTTCCATAGTCATGGTGTCCTCTCGTCAAATTTGCAAAAGGTTCAAAGAAAAAGAAATTGAGGAATGGAAAAGAAAGAGAAAAGGAG